CAGTGTAAATTTGGGGACAGGAAAGACGGGTAACTTAGATGTGTCCATAGATAACGCTAACGAAAAGATTGACTGCTATTGACAAGCATTCCGTTAAATTGCAAAATTACAGGAGCTATTGAGCATTCCCATTGATAAATCAAGAGTAAATGACATTCCTGGACAACGAGAACCAGTGACCCATTAGTAAATCAGTAAATACCCTTAATATGTGATCACTATCTACTTCTATGTTATTATTTCATATAGAAATATGACAAAATTACAGAGGATGACATGTCACGAGCATAAATCAATCGTTCAATAATTGCAAAATAACAAAAAGGCTTTCAAATAACATGAATAAAGATTTGTGTTAATTTATTTTTAAGAGACATGCGGCGATGGGCGTTGAGTTTTCAAACTAATTTCGTGTACAGTAAGGATGGGCTAACATTGTAAAAAAAAGTAAAAGTAAAAAACATGCAAATATATCTGTACAAACATATTAAATGTTGTGATAAGTGACTGGTATAAACTAACAATATCTTCGACACAAAGTAGGCTTATTTTTTTCTAAAATCATTTGTATCATTTATAGTTAAGACATTATTGGCAGTTTTAGATATATTTCCCCATCATGTGTTAATTACTACTTATGGTTTCGATTGTACATCTCCAATCATATACATTCCCTTATTTGTACATGAAAATCATACATTCAAATGTATGATCAAATGATAGTGAAACAAAACAATACTTATTGTTTGGGATATTGCTTTGTTGTAACAGATGTGTGTATGTTTTCAATGTTTAATGACAGTCAACCCACCACTCTCCTCGGCTTCAGTCAGGAGAACGGTAGCTGGTCAGAGGGATACAAGTTTCGTCTAAAGCTCTTGATGTCCACGTGCACGCACCGAGGAAAACATGGGTAAGCTCTTGTAACCACTATCTAAAATAAGTGCATATAATGTAGGTATCGGATGAAGACACACCAACTGGAGGTTGTCGTCCGAACTATGAAGGCGGATCACTGGCTTTTACATAAATCAAACATCTCCGACATACAGACTCATAAACAAGCGTCTCAAGTACATAGATAATTACCAAATCACGATTATTGCTGTGGACGACACTTTTTGACAAACTAAGTACCTGATGATTGTTTATGTTATTTACAAGATCGCATTTTTCTGAAGAAAATACATGTAAGTAGTAACTCAACTGACAATTTACTTTGATAATGGAGGATAAAAAATCGATCTTTACACGTGACATTTTGATTTATTGTTTATGAATATTAAATAAACAGTTTGTTAAAACATGTACAGCCTAGAATTAGCCTTTTTATGATTGAAAATATTCATACATTCATGAATGAAGACAAAGGACGAAGGTTACACATAACTCCTTTCCAGAGGAAAGCTAGTGTCATTAATGGCGACATCTTGATAATGTTAAGAAGCTATATTACCGTTTTAATTAGGAATCATGTTATTTATACACTATTCACGCTGGTGTTGGCATATTGGTGATCTGTTGACGCTATCGACTTCAAATTACCCGATTAAAGCACAGCAAGACACGAGACGAAAACCAACCACCACAGTTAAAAATAGGAAATTATTACACCGTAATGTGATGCGCCGGAGATATTTACGCGATAAAATTTAATCCAATTTCTGCTTTTTAACAACACCCTTGTTGTAAATTGCTACAAATCACATTCTTGATTTTCTAAATTTAAAATTGATTGTTAAAGAATGCATTTGATTAATGAGTTTGGATACGAGTGTCGTTAAACTGTCAGGTACATTACGATTATGTAATGATGGGTTTTGTGGCTTTATCAAAGAAGTTAGGCGGAAAGTTTTCTAACTGTACAGAAGCTGTCATAACTAGTAATTAAAGTCCCAAAATAGGTTGAATTTAAAGCAACAATCAATTTTTATACTTATTCCCAGTAACAGTGAAAGCGATAGATTACAATGCTCATAAACATAAATTAATTTAATATAATATTCAATACATTTTTTCACATGTTTGTTTTCTTAAAAAATTTGTCAAGGTGCCCAAATGGTTGGAAGTTAATTTCTTCGTACATAATCAGTTGTATATGATGAAATGATTTGCTTATGTCACGGTCATAAACAATTTACTTACTTACTTATTTGAATATAGTTTAGCTTACAGAAATGGTACCAGGTAGTAGATTGTCGCCGACTTGAAAATAAAACATAAGTACAGCATATATGTTTGAAATGTTATTTTCACCTCTTATGTAATCAATAATATCTAAATCATCAAAAATAGTAAATGCATCTTTAACAGAATTTTAAGTACAAATAGGTTGTTAAGCGGAGTTTTTGATGACCCAAACTTAGAGAATGAAACAATTTACTAATGAAAAGACAGATCGCTTTGCTTCCATAGTTGACCACGCAAATAAAACACTCGTACAATTTTATGTGTTAGCTTTTCGTGATGGTCAAACTAGTTTTTAATCAACTATAGATATCAAATCTTCATATCAATATCCCAAAGGTGCTATATTTATTTTATACTTGAGTTTATTGTTTTACTATCAGTGCTTGCATATGAACATCAAAGGGCGTTCATTGTTTTACCAGCGTCGGTAATACAAATTAGGGGGTATGGGTAAATATTTGATTTACTAATTAGAAAATGCTGCCTTTCAATTATCACCGTAGAAACTGTATCTTGTCTGAGTTAGATATATGCAGTAAAATGATATAGATTACCAAGTGTAAGATAGGGTTTATTACTCTTTCAAGAGCAGTCATATCTCAACTCAGTCCTAGTGTCGTCTGCTGCATATTGTCCATACTTGCCGTATCTAAAGAAGAAGTTGTTGACAAAATTTAAAATAATATGTCATGGGAACACTTCAACCATCCAACACAATTTTACTCCAAATGTACCGGTATATGCAAGATACTTTTAGAACATGGTTTCCCGTTCACATGAATATTAAAACGTGCAAAAGCAACAGACTCGGAGTGCATAGTGAGCAATGAGTCATTTTTTAACTTAAAAAAACCGTGAACAGATGTAGATATACCGAAGAATTACTAAGATGGTACACAAAGTCGTTGTTAAAGCAACTACTGTTTTATTACTCGAATAATGTTTGTACATTTACACTAAAACAACGCTTGCAAATATTCCTAATGGCAGACATTATGTGCTTTAAAATCAGTATATCGATGTTTAGTGTGAGAAAACGTTTGAATTTAAGATAACGTTCTGTATATTTGGTGATACGTTGGCGACAAACGTTACTCTTTTTAATATATGTTCAACAAGTCCGACATTTATAGGTAAGTAAAAACAATCCCATGCAACAAGAATATCCAGAGAAGTCTGAATTCTTACTGCTCACTTCTGGTGTTTCTATTTTGAATTCAGCTAATATAACAATACAGTTAGTTTTAAAATTTTGAATGTACATGTAAATCGAAGTGAAAATACATTTTATAGAGTTTGGCAATTCTTTTCCTCGGTAGATAAAAGGCTGCACTACTTTAGTGCCTAAAACTGTATCACTGTTTCTTGCTTCACATTGATTTCAATTAATTAATTTTATACCAATGATACTATTATCAAAAAACTTAAATTTAAGCTCATAAGTATTGATATTGGTGTGAAGCATGGCCTGGCTGTATACCGGTGATATTTGTAAGTTATTACCATTGTAACTCACATTGTAAATATTAAAACCATTTCTGGCAGCAAAAAAGACCTGTCCAACTGGTGTATAATACATGAATGCTGGTTTACAGTACCAAGTGTTTGTTAAAAATATATACAAAACCTTATGTTATATACAACCAGGGTCTTTCAAGTTGAAAGACCCTGACACAGCTAAGAAGTTACAAAACAGAATCACACTATTCACAGGATGGCAATCATAAATGTAATAAACAATAAGACTTATTTATTGAAAAAAACAATTTATTCAAATACTTTTCTCATTATACTGAACAATTACAGCAGTTATGTTAAATGGTCGACATATACAGTTTTATTTATTTTCTTATTTCCAAGTAGGTTGAACAACACAAAATATATTGAAATAAAGACAGGAGAGAGAGATTGAGAGATATTGACTTGTATGTCACCTAGAGACCTATTCCAGAATAGTGACAATTTAAATACAAGTTTTTCTTAATATAAGATTTTAGATAACCATAAAGATGTCAAATCTGCTGTACAAAACACTGTTTTGTTGCATTATTTTAAACAGATAACAAAAATATATGATCAAGTCAAACAAGTTTGAACATAATTGATATAAAAATAAAAATATACATGTATAACACTATCACAGCCACTGATCTGATCACATATTTATTCTGCACTTTTTATTGGTCACGTATTACTAGTATATGAATATATAAAAGTAATAAAAAATGTAACATAGCAGCAAAGTAAAACAAATGGAATGTATTTAAAACTTATGGACGGCATTTATAATGTTAAATACTTTGAATATGATATCACATAATTACATGTACATATTCATTAAAAATAGCATATATTTAAAAATACACTAATGCATAATATTCAAGTTCATACATTCAATATAAAGTTTTAAGCATTATACACATCAAGTAGCTGATCCTTTTTCAGATTCTTTTCAAACAAAGGAAAACCATGGAAAATATTATAAAAAGAAGAATCCAAAAAACAATTCTTTAAAACCTACCATAAATACACTACTCTCTATTTTTCCTTTAAAAGCATACTTAGTGCACTATACTGGTATGTATAAATAATTCCTAAATGATAGACTTTGAACTATTATCTTCTAATAAAAGAACATTAAACATGAATTTATCACCAGTTACTAATGGTTTGTCTGTACTCTCTATATATATTTTCAAATTTCAATCTCAGCCTCAACTTTATTCCTAGACATTAAGGTTGATGCAAACTCATTAACAAAATCTATATGATTCCATGATTCTTTCAATCCTAAAAAAAAGAGTTTCTTATTTTATAGACATTGAATTTATACCCTGTTACTTGAAACAGTCTATCAGACATAAATATTCATATTTTGGACCTTTTTTTAGACATAGTAATTCAATGTAAAATGTCCTGCAATATTAATTCATTCAACTACATAGACACAATGGTTCTCTGCAACACATTCTAATACACATAAAACATGTATTCCAAACTTTTTTTCTTCAACCATCTTTCTAGACATATACATAGTTATACTGACTTTCACAGAAATATGTCCTGGTGTATCATAATATTCCATATATGTATAAAAGCATTCATTGTGAAGCATAATACATACTAATCACTATAATCAAAAGTAAAAATCTCTCTTTTATACAACTTGTTTTATCCCCCCATGAATAGTCCCCTCCCCCATTCTAACAAAGAAAGACCATTCAAAATCACACTTCCAAAATGTTTAGCAAGCATCTGTATGCCTTAATATTTGTAAGCAATTTTCATCATATAATAAATTACAGAAATGCATCTAATCTATACAGCTTAAGTTAATGGGAAAAGTTTATTATTTTCCATGAAGAAATGATAAGTCTAATTTGCAATGAAGATGCTAGAATTCTATGATAGAATCATCTAACTTTTTATACACCTCATCAACTTTATTACTTTATTACTAATTTAAATCACAAGTGTTTCTATCAAACAGCCTGAATTAATTACTGAAATTTCTTATTTCTTTTTTTTTGGTAATAACTTTGGCAAGCAACTCTCTCTATACATACGTCAGATATTACATCTTTAAAGATATTTTCCACCTATGATATGTCAATGAAAGCAAGGTGAACATTGTTGATATGAGCATGTATATTATGACAACTAAACAGGTATCTCTTTTATTTAAAAAAAAAAATCTAATGTTTTCAAAAAAAAAAGATATTCATTTAATATTTCTTTTTAAGTAAACATTTAATGTCATCTTGTTTCAATCTAAGTCAAATTGCTCTTACATAAATATTGCCACAATATTCAATCACAATATGAAAATATGAGAAAAAAAAACTCAGTCTGCCATCATTTTTTGTTTTGAAAACTAAAAATGTCAAAATGATGTTATTCAAGTTGTTTTCCACATTAATGCTTGCTAAATTGTTTCTATTAAACAGCACATAAAATTATTCTAGACTTCAAACCAGTCATCCATTCATATAACTTCTGCAAAATATGACAGTTATGCATGTAAAACATTAAAAAGCAATTTCTAATTGGAAAATTTATGTCAATGTTTAATCTAAAATTAGATTTGATAGAAACAAGCTAACAATTAAATAGTTTGTGAGAGAAGAAGAATAAATATATCTGTGAACAATGCTGAGAGCATGACCGGAAAACTAGTGTTTTAACATGTCAAAATTTCACAACAATCACTCACTTTTTACATAATTATATCAATTTTTTGTTGAAATGTAGATATGATAAAACAAACTGGTGAAGATTTTTGTCACAAAAAAACAATAACAAAACCAGGGCAGAAATTTTCATCCCAACAATACTGTTTTCATTCGAGTGTACTCAATGATCTCTTCAAAAGTCTTTGCACTTACATCAAAGCAAGACAAATATATTGTAAAATATATATTTCATTTAAAACATTCTGATATTGACTTGAAATTTCTCGATATAAAGTTATGACGATTTTTTCACAATAAAGGGAGGTAATTCCACACATGTTTATACTCCAAGTAAGAATGCATGTTTGGCCGTTCCAGCGTTGTGGACTGAGTCTATCTGAGGTGTAATTGGATTGTTCAGGGTGGCATTGAAAGTTCCCTTCAGTACTGTGTCTTGTATCAGAGGAGAAAACTGAAAATATACAAAAAGTAACTATGGTAACTAAGGTTGTCTTCTTTTTTCTTTTTTTTTAATTTCAAAATCATCAAAAATAGTTGAACCTTTAGAATCTGAAAAAAAAGAAAAATCCTTATTTATCAAAACAATGTGATTAAATCAGACCAACAAATTTATACAATAGTTAAAAGAAAACACAATATTTTACTTAACAATACATTGTAACGATACATTTTGATTGATGAGAAACCATCAAATACATTTTTGGAATAACATAAACTACCTGAAATTCTGACGTAAAAGAAGCAATCGCAACAAGAAAAGCCTGTCATGTTAAATTTTTTTAAAGGTCTCGAAATAATTTTCGTGCATATTATCAGTTTGTGAATTTATAAGATAAGCAGAGGTACACACCAGTTATATTATGTTAAACTACAAAAACATAGTTCTCCCTGACATAACATGTAGGTGGCTTGTTAAAAACACAGCCTTTTTGTCTCTAATAAACAGGGCGAACTTCTTTATTATTAACCAGTGTCTAGACATCTCGAATATAAATGTATGCTTCATCAATAAGAATGCGTAATTAAAATTATCCATCATGATAAAGGAAACTTCGATATTAAAGAAAAATCTCTCGGTCAAAAAAAAAAAAAAAATCTTTTCATACGTTTTGGATGAGACATGGGCAACTGTAATTCATTTCCTGATATGTAATGTCTGCACGAGAAATAAACATCAGCTTTTAGATTCTGATAATATATCATAAATAACAAATAATGCAAATACGAGGCGTGTTTGTTGTTGTGTATATAAGGTGTACAGTTTCCCTTTCATGTTGTATTATTAATTATGATAGTAAATATACCTATATGATTACATAGCAACGTGTGCTGCAGTCAGAATATAAATAGGTCTTAGAAAAACAAAACTGCACCAATATTAAATAAAACAAGGAAACCGAATCTAGAAAAATTCCACACAATCTCTAATCTTGAGTTATTACTGTATGTAACTGTCAATGAGTAATAAAAACATCATTTTCCAATTTTAACCCATTTTTTATTGAGAAAAAAATCAAACAAAATTATCATTTCTGCTCAGAATTTTCAGCTGTAAATTACCATGATTGGTATCAAAAACAATTAATTAGACATATAAACTGGGATAACTTATCTAACCTCATAACTCTTGTGTTTTTTTTTACCTTTACAACCTATATTGTACATGTGGAAGAGAAAAAAAAATTACTCCAAAAGTCAAAATCAATCAATTTTATTCCTTATCAAGCAATGTTTATAGTTTGAGAGAGACTAATCTACTTCTAATAAATTTCTACCATGATTTATTGACTTACACTTCCTCCCTAAACACAGAAATAGCAACTTTATCTTCCAGAAATAAAAACATTTAGCAGTATAAAAATCAGAAATCAGCAATATTTATGAATTCAAAGTCACGATAAGCCCTTTATTGTAACTTTGATGTACAATTTGCCAAACAGCAATTCAATCCCAGTTGTCCGGCACACTTAGAAGATAAATTTGAAATTTACGTCATCTGAATTTTACTAATTCATGTTTAAATGGATTCTAATGTATTCATCGAAGACTGAAGGTTTACAAAGTGTTATCTGTGAATCATACCAATTAAAAAATAAATACAAGTTATCAGATATGTTTAGGTGCTTTAAAAGCTAGACTTGACCCGTTGTCGACTTCTTACTAATCAATTTGTAATTAAAATCATCGCCTAAAGATTAGCTGTATTGACATTGCAGAAAAAGCAATCATTTTTATCAATGGATTAAAATTCTAAAATTCTGTTTCAAAAAAAAAAAAAAGTCTGCCACTGATAAATGGTAAAAAAACTACTTGCTAATTTCTTTAAAGGGTGTGCCATTTATACATTTATTACTAAGACAAGTTCTATTTTAATTTGAAACTGCCAAAAAAAAATCATGCACTAAGTATGCACATGCTTCTATTTAAGTGCGACATTATCAAAATAAATTGCCATATTTTATGCATTAAACATTTTTTGTTTGTGTATGTGAAACATTTAGTAAGTCTAGATGAATGGAAGTTTTAATTTTGCAAAAAATATTCAAGTGTATCAGCATTTAAACATTATTTCATTCAAGAATACCAGCTATATGTAAATAACCTGCAACAAAAATTTTTCCCAAACAATTACCAGGACATAGTTGTAATAATTGTCAGCTTTTGTTTAAGTTTTGCTTCCACAGCTAATATATTTAGAAAAAAACTTTTTTCATCTTCAAAACAAACAGACAAAAATTGTTATAGTAGTCTTTGTACGATATGTACTAAATAACACAGTATATTTGTGTATAATTTACATCCAAATATCTCCAGGAAGCTAATTTTCATCCAATTTATCTCAACATTAACAGTAATATGTGTTAACAAATGTAATGAAAATGTTTGCTTATAATGAAAACGAAAAGCTAAATTAATGTACCAGATAAGTGTTATATTCCTGTAACACTTTGTTAAATCATTATAAACAGAACAGAGAACACTTCTAACAAAATGGTGCCAAACATTTCTTTACAAACTTTAACAAATTATTTTTCAAGCTCTAGGGGCTAACTATTGCTCTATTATACCGGTAGCAATTTGTAACAAGAGCTGTCGGTAGGACAGCAACGCTCGACTATTCTTAATGCTTGATAGTAAAAAAAATGCTTGATAGAGTTACCTCCTCCTGTTTACAGGTTGGGGTCATGATGGTGAACAACTGTGCAAAGTTTCAAAGCCATATGTCAATGGACTTTGAAAATATTTGAACTATTACAAAAACTTTAACGTAAATTCTAAGTTGAAAAAGGGGCATAATTCTGTCAAAATGCTTCATAGAGTTACCTCCTCCTGTTTACAGGTTGGGGTCATGATGTTGAACAAGTGTGCAAAGTTTCAAAGCCATATGTCAATGGACTTTGAAAATATTTGAACTATTACAAAAACTTTAACGTAAATTCTAAGTTGAAAAAGGGGCATAATTCTGTCAAAATGCTTCATAGAGTTACCTCCTCCTGTTTACAGGTTGGGGTCATGATGTTGAACAAGTGTGCAAAGTTTCAAAGCCATATGTCAATGGACTTTGAAAATATTTGAACTATTACAAAAACTTTAACGTAAATTCTAAGTCGAAAAAGGGGCATAATTCTGTCAAAATGCTTGATAGAGTTACCTCCTCCTGTCTACAGGTTGGGGTCATGATGGTGAACAAGTGTGCAAAGTTTCAAAGCCATATGTCTATGGACTTTGAAAATATTTGAACTATTACAAAAACTTTAACATAAGTGGTTACGCCGACGCTCGGGTGACTGCAATAGCTCTACTTATTCTTATCGAATAGTCGAGGTAAAAATAAGTAACTTTTATTTTAGAGATTTACAAAGTTCAATATAGATTGACGTCTAAAAATGGAAACTACCAAACTGTGAAGGGAACTTCACTTTTAAAATAATTATTTCAGGAACTCGGTAAATTCTGAGACTCAATGCTCAATGCCAATGATGCAGTAACATAAATAATGAATTATACAAAAAAAACTAAATTGACAGCAATCCTTCAAAACAGTAAGTGAAATTTTGAAAAAAAAGCTTAAGAAACCAATCATCAGAATTTTCAACCATCACGGCATAATTATAGTATACCAAACCATTCCAGAAGTTTTAATTTAAAACATCTTCAGAACATGTACCGGTGTGTATATAAGAGGGAGTGGTTGTGTTGAGGACATTGATGGGAAATGAGACTGACTCAGACTTCACACACATTAGAAGGAGGTATGACAGTTAAATTATATTTCTAATCATTTTCACTTAATACATCATTAACTACTTCAGATGCTGCTTAATTCTCTAGCAGCCTATCAAAGCAATGGCTGCTACATTCTCATAGCTTAAATTAACTACATTCTATTGCCACATGATGCATTCTTAAACTTGCACTGATCAGCTGAGTTTAAATAAAAAAACAACAGCAGCACAAACATTAATTTTCTAAATGCATTTTGTGTAGACTTTTAATTTTCATTGCAGTAATATAAATAACGAGTTTAATTAAATTGAAAATCTTAAACACATTTATGTACCTTTGAACTAACCCAAACAATTAGATTTTGGATTTTGAGAAAGCCTGGTTTTAGGGTTTAAAGTCATCCCTAATTATTGTATGATTACGTTTGTCAAAATAAGCCATTTCATCATACAAAATATATATGCTACCAATTATTTAACAACTAATTTCCAATATTCAGAATCTCCAATTAACTACTGTAATGCTCTCTAAATCTTTATCATCATGTTTATAGAGACAGTTTGTTTTATCTCTTCTTTAGTTCTGCCTTTTTACAAACATAATCGGTTCTCATATATGATTTTTTCTCCTTCATACAAGACACTCACTGTTTTCTCTCCTACATCTATAAACTTTCCAATTATACATTCTGCTTCTTCTTTCTTCTCTAATTCATTCCATAATAATATATTCCATTGAGTTTTTTTCTTCTCCTTTACTTGTTGTCTTTTCACAGTTCTGGCATTGTATCACATTAAAATAATTCTGATATGCCCACTATTGCGGTTCTTTCTAAATTCAAAATTTCACTATTTTCATGTTCTGCTTATTCCAGTGCTAGGGGGCGTGGACGGTAGTTTGCACTAGACAGTACCGTCTATGAACATGCTTAAAATTTCTGTTTTGGACTTAGGGATTCCTATTTTCTCTATTACACACATTCTCCAATATCTTCACCATTGTCATCTTCTAATAGTTGCTGAAGCATTTTGTTATGAACATACACAAGAAGTTGTCCTTGAAACCAGGTAATTCTGTTAAACCAAGTTGCCATCTACATTAGTATGATATTTTTTCTGTGGATTAACACTTACACATCTTCAAAGTCAATTCTTAAAATAATGAATGCCAAGTAGCAATTCTGCCAAAAGTTCTTTCTTCAAGTTTACTTACTCATCAGGCAAG